TTTTTAAGTAATCTAGATACCGTAAGCTTTTAGGTTAAAGAACTGATCATTAACTTACAGATATTTTAAATTTTCCAAGTCTTCAAATGCTCCACTAGGGATCCTCTTGATCTGATTATTATTGAGAAGCCTATGAAACAAGAGGCAATAAGAATTTTAAAAAACAACAGAAAACAAACTTCAAAGTTGTGTTAAAACATTCCGACAGCCTTGGAAAAGGCCATGTAACAATTCAGTTACAGACTTGCCATCAACATTCAACGAACGCTGAATTCACAGGACAAAACACAGCTTTAGCGTTTAACCATCATAGTGGAAAAGTTGCTCTGCAATGCTGTCCGTATTCCACAGTTACCACCTTTTGATACGGTGGAGAAAAAATTCCTTCTCTCCTACAGAAGGGAGTTTGTATCTTTATCCTGCTGTCTCTTAGGTTTTCTGTTTTAACCAGGACTGTGGCCAGTGCTAAGGCAGTCATGGTGGGAGGGTGGTGTGGGCAGACAGACGTGCCAGGAAAGGTGGGCCCTGTGGCCCGTGCTCCATTCATGTGCACAGACAAGGGCCTGGGGTGAGAGGCCCCAGGCCCCTTGCTCTCCAGGGTCAACAGTGGACAGGTGGCCCAGGCAGTCCCATGTTCCCCATGACCCTGCTCTTACGCCACTGTGCTCAGTCCTGGTGCAGAAGGGAACCAGCTTCCACTGCACTGGGCGTGCCCTGCAGAGCCGGAGGTCTGCACAGCAACACTGGACCTGGCCCTGCCTGCTGCCTCCGGGCATCATGGGACTGCCTGGAACCCTCACTTCAGTCCACTCCACACTCAGAAGCAGCACTGTCCTGCTCAACCTTGCCACGGAGGAGGTGCAGGAGCACACAGAGGTCAGCCTGACCCAGCAAGGGCAGAGTGATTCTGGAGCAAGTGACCCATATGAAGGCCAGGGACAAGTTTTGCGGTCGGTCAGCATGGGTCCCAATCAACATGCAACGGCCAGGCACACAGCCATGAGACGAGAAATACAGTGGCCACAGTCCTGGCATTCACCGTCCTGGCATTCACCGTCCTGGCATTCACCGTCCTGGCATTCACCGACTGTCCTGGCATTCAGGTGCATTTTTCAGCCTCACTTTTCTGTTCTACTTTTCCCCACCCATGCCCACTGATTGTGGACAATGAGTTCTACCCACAGGTAAATAATGTAATGATTTCTATTTTTCTATTAGTTTCCAATAGAATATTTCCACTCACAATGTGTTCAAGTTCCTCAGCCGCCTGAATGCCCCAGGTTGGATCTCTCTGATTCTGTTAAAGCGAAGATCTCTGTGAAGAAACAAGAAAGGTATTATTATGTGAAAAAAAAATCTATAAACACCGCTACACCTTTGCTGTTCCTAGTCAGTTTCAAAACAGTGACAACGCATTTAAAATATTCAACCATCCAGTTCACTCCTTAAATGAGTCTTCTTTTTCACTGAGGCTAATAAGTGTATGAATACTTATCTGAATGATGGAACAACAGTCTCACACTACAGAATTTTTAAAACCAGTAATTATGGGGAGAAAAATTACATAAACTACCTAAACACCCTATCTTTGGTAAACCACTGGAAAATGTCATGTCGCTAAGTCTTAGGATAATAAACACAGGTTAGGTGTGATGACATTCAAGAAGAGAGTCGCACCACCTGTGGAACTGAGCAAACACCTTAGAGTTCACTCCAGTGATTTCATGAGCTGGAATTCGGCTGTTCCTTAGTCAATGACCTCAAGTGTTACCTTCATGAGATTTAAACTGAATGTCTCAAAACCACGACAGTGAATTCAGCTAACTGGGAAAATAGGCTTTCTCACATATGGGTTTTACCCTAATGGTTCCAAACAGGTATTTTCATTAAATTAAACTTCCACTGTTATTTATTTATATTTATTTATATTTCGGGGGTGGAGAGAGGATCCGAATAGCCCATGAGAGACCAGAGAGCACACCAGAATCGACACAGACTGAATCTGGTGCTGGAAGGAGAAACACTTTGATTCCTGATGATCTGATGCTCAGGCAGAGCAAGCTGGGAGGCCCCGACCACGGAGACCACGGAGGCCACGGGCCACGGGCAGCAGCATCAGGCAGAGCAAGCTGGGAGGCCCCGACCACGGAGGCCACTGGCCACGGGCAGCACAGGCAGTCAGGTCAGAGGCCTGAAGGCAGCGACGGGAAGTGCAGACATGCAGAGGCGTCCGCTCTACCCTTGTAGACTGCCCATCCCAGCTTGAATTAAAACTATTAAATTGAACAAGTATAGAAACCACTGAAAAATAAACAGAAAGACCAATTTCTTTATCAAATACTCAGGAAAATTAAAATTCCTTACGCATAGGTCCAGTCCCTTTTCATATCGTCCAGCAGGGATTGGTACGGGTTGAACTGTGTCTCCCGAAATCCACTGGGCTCACCCCCAGGGCCTCAGACATGACTATGTTTGGTCATTAGGGTATCATAGGTAAGGTCAGGGCATTAGGGTATCATAACAGAAAATGTTTATGACCTTCTAAGGAATCTGATTACCCTATACCAATCACTGTCAGTAGTTTGCAGAACTAGTTTATGTTCTACAAACTAAGTTCTAGTTTACGGTTCAACAAGATACTTCGAAAAAACTATCTGTGTCACTGACAGTAACAGCGTCCAGCCTAGAGGTCAGCGAATAAATGTGTCCCTCCCAGGGCCGCCCCATGCTGTGGGTCAAGTTCTCCTGGAGGAGAAGGGGAAGGCGGCTCCCCTCTGCCCATCCGGCTCTCCTGGGAATCATTCCACACTGCGCCCTCGCACCCGGGTTCGCTTTCCTCAGTGATACCCACTGTCCACCAACAGTCTCCTCACACGCACCCTCCCCTTGCACTGCCATGCTCCTTTTTAAACAGATGAGATTTTAATTTACGTTCATATTCAGAATACTACTAGTGGCTCCACGTACTGTCCACATAGGAGCTGCTGAAAGTCAGAGGCACCGAAACTGGGAGGTGTTGCTGGAGGAAGACACGGGAGGGGAAAGCAGTCATCCAGGATGCTCACTCATTCAGTACAGAAAACACAGATCAAGTACAGATTAGGAGAGAATTCTGACCAGCTACAATTTCGGGATAAACAAATGATTGCAAAGAAGCTCCTGTACCTGAGACACAGCAAGCTGAGGGGCTTCCCAGCATTTGAACAGGTAAGAAAGGCTGTCCTGGAAGGCTGAGCCATGCATCACGGCTTAGAGCAGAAATCAGCCCCAACCACATCTAATTCAGAAACCAAGCTGCTCGTCCAGAGCAGAGGATAGAGTGAGCCCCACTTGTTCTGGCTCCTCATTCCCCATGGGAACCCACACTCAAGGCACAGAGGAGGCAGCGGCAACAGCGTGGAAGCTGGAAAGCAAGATGTGGACTTGGCTCCTGGAGCCTGGGAAGACTGCAGGAAGAGCAGCCTCCCGACGACATGCAGGCCTTTCCCCAGATCTGAAGTCAGTGCCACCAGAAACCTCTAGAGTGACGGACAGAGAGGTGCTGTCCCACACACAAGGCCCTATGCCCTGGGTCTGAGCGCCTGAGAGGTGGCCAGTGTTGAGTAAAAGTGCAAAACTCACACTGGACCTCAAGGACTTCTTACAAACAAATAGAACATAAATACATCTTCAATAAAAGTTTATATTGAGTGCATGCTGAAACATGTACAAGTCTGGCATGCAGAGTTAAATAAAACATTTTAAAAATTAACTGTTTCTAATTTTTTCAGGAAGTGACCAGAAAATGTTAAATTACACAAGTAGTTCTCACCATATTTCTGTGGGATGGCACTGGTCAAGGTTAAGGGGATCATTTCACAACCTGCTCACAAGCAGTTAGACCTCCCACCACGTTCTTAGGCAGACCACTAAAAAAGACTTCTACTATGAAGAGGGTAAAACAGAGGGTCCCCTTTACTGCAAAGGGGGTTATCTTAGGCGACAAAGTGAAACAATAAAAAAAAAAAAACCAAACTGAAATTCTAGAACTGAAAAATATGATAGCTGAAATGAAAACCTCATTGGATGGACTTAACATATTGAATACTGCAGAGGGGAGAGGACTTGGGAGCTACTCAACATTAGAAATGATCTAATCTGAGGAACAGGATGAAAAAACACTCATACACCAATATTTATACACGCACATATTCATCTGCATGTGTGTGTGTTTACATTTTCTGTCTGATACCACAGCACATGAAAGGAGCTAGAAAGATTTGTCACCAAACAGGAGCGTGTGGTGTTTGGGTGGGATGATTTACAACACAGCTACATCTGCACACGTTACAGGAGGGGACTTGGAGCTGCCTCAGAAACCCTCCTGTTCCAGAGCAACAGAAAGGGCACAGGGTCCAGGTTGTTGTGGCTCCATCCCCGAGAGACAAGCTCAGGGCATGAAGACACCACAGACACAGGAAGCCAATGTTTGTTTCAAATATGAACCCCAACTTTGAGGTCATGAAGACAAATGCAAGGGCTTTTTGCCTGAATATTTCTCACTTGCAAGATTCTAGAAAGGTCAGGAGGGATCTGCCCTCCACAGAGCAGCCAGGATTCCGCTAAGCAGTTTCATGGCACAAGTGCTTGGGAGCCTGTTACAAAAGCAAATTCTGGGCCCCACCCCAAATCTCCAGAATCAGAAACTCCGGGAGTGGGTCCCAGTAATGTGGGTTCTAATAAGATTTCCAGGTGATTCTAAGTAAGGTAAAGTTTGGAAGTCATTGTTCTTCGGGAATGCTGAAGATATAATGCAAATACACACTATGTATATTTTTAAGTGTGCGTGTGAGTAGATATAGGAAAAGCATTTGCACACGCATGCAAACACATAAACACTAGTAGCAGGCATTTGCTCGTTTCCTCTGCATTTCTTCCACGTCTGATCCTTAACTTACTGGTCATCATTGACATAAAGCTTACAATAAATGTAAAGCTAAACTCTCCAATTAAAAAGTGCTTAAATTTAAGTGCCACATATAAGTGCTCCCCATTTTACAACTTTTAAAATAGCCTTTGCACATGTCTGGGCAGAATAAGACTATGGGGAGGCATTTGATCCCTGCATTATGCACCTACATATGACTAAACAACTTGACAAACAGAATTATTATTTTAACAATCATAATAAATAGTTCCACAAATAATCCTAACTGGGGGAAAAAAACTTGCCCAATCTTTGAAGATTTAAAGAGCACTTCAATAAGTCTTCCTTGGCTCTTCCCTGGGGCTTTGTGCTCCCACCCGGTCCTCCTGCAGTAATGTCTCCCGAAGGGGCTGCGGGGGCTGGAGAGGGACCCTAGGCAAACGTGGTCGCATGGCCCTAGCTGTGTGCCACATGCCAACAGGCAGACCACTGGGTCACCTGCCCTCCGCAGCCGCAGGATAACTTCTGCCAACAAGCAAGGGGCTCTGGTACTCCCTCCATGAAGTAAGTTGGCATGATGAGCATAGAGACAGATTCTAGAAAGTTCCGGGAAACTGTAAGTGGCATGATTACTAAAGCAAGCGGAACACAGATGAACACTGAGGGCTAACATCAGACAGAGCACCCATGAACTCCTGCTGAAGCCAAGGCCAAAGCCCCAGGAGATTGTGATTAAAAATGCCACACCCCTGCCTGGGTAAGCACGAGGGGTACATCCCTTCTAAAGCCTGGGGCCCTAAACCATAAAGCGCCAATGACAGTAAGCAGCAGTGAACAAGGTCACAGAAGGATGAAGAGCTTATGTGTGAAAAGTCCTTCATAAACAGCAAACCTCTGTAAATATCCATCGTGAACACCCCCTGCAATTCCAGTGGGTCTTGTCAGCTTGTTCACTGAGCACACGAAGCACGTATCTGGGGCAACCTCTGAGCTAGGCAGCAGCACCTGCGCTTGGAGAAGATCGGTGTGTACAGGGAACCCTCGAGAGCTCTCAGAAATGACCACGGTAGTAGGGCAAGGTCACCCCCTACTTCAGAGTGACAAAGGCACATCCTGAGGAAATGGCTAAGCACGCTAAGGCAGAGCACATGAAGGTGGCTGACTGAGGGAAGCGAGGAGAGAATGAGATCCAGGTTAGAAGAAATCCCTTTTCTGGACAAACCGGAATTTAGAAACTAAGAAAGATCAGGTAATTTGCCTAAAGTCAGTCAGTCTGCAAGTGGCAGAACTAGAAATGCAATTAGAGTCAGCGCAGGGCTCTTTTCTCAGCATTAAAACTGCTCTCACTGAAGGCATTTCAAGAGGTTAATCCTCCCAGGTAGAGTCCACCAGACTCTGCCACTTACAT